TGTACTAGTTTGCTAAGGCTGCCATAGTAAAATAAAGCAAATTGGTTGGTTTATACAACAGAAGTTTATTTTCTGACAGTTCTAAAAGCTCAAAATGCAAGATCAAGTTATCAACAGTAAGGATTTCATTCTGAGGCCTCTTTTCCATTTGTAGATGGTTGTCTTCTCCCTCTGTCCTCACATAGTTGTCCTTCCTTCTGTGTTGCCCTAATCTCTTTCTATAAGGACACCAATCATATTGAATTAGAGCCTACTCATATGACCTTGTTTTATCCTAATTACCACTTAAAGGACATATCTCCAAATACAGTTACATTCTGAGATACTAAAAAGTTTCCCAGATCCCTGCTTTCTCTCTCTTTTATTCTGTAAGCTGTGAGTTAAACTGGTTTCCTCTCCATTTCTTCAGCATATCGCACCCATGCTGTGATACATTTCACCCTTCCTAAAACATCTCCCCCCACACCTGCAAATCTTCAAGGCCACACTGACTCTTATTTTCACCTTTTATTCTTTAAATATTGAAACCTGGAAGTAGTTCTCCCTTAAGTCCTATAGCACTAATGGTCAACTCAAATAAGTTATTTTCTGGAGAGACATAGTAAATAGATAGAGACAAATACTGTTTGTTTTGTTGTTTTTATCTCCCATTAAAACCAGCAGAGTTCTAGCCACGTGGTAGATGATGTAAGTGTTTATTAATTGATTTTCAACAAGTAAATTATATAAAATGAATTATCACTCTGAAGAGCACCATAGCCTTTAAACTTTTGCTGTCATTGCTTTTAACATTATAATCATTAAATAAGGAATATAAGTGAATGGTACAATTTTAACTATTTAAATAGTTCTAATAGTCATAACATTTGCTGTTTGCTAGTTTATATAAATGCAGATTCAAATATCTAAACTTCCTTTATAAAATCAGATATATTATCTTCTGGATTAAGTATTTAAAATTTCAAATGATAAGCCTTGTCAGGTAACATCAGTTGTCCTCTTTCCTGAATCACCATTTTCTTTTCTATGTATGATTTTTCTTATTAGTATATAAGCGTGCTATCATTTTTACAAATGGATACCTTTCTAGTAAAATTTTGTTTATCACACGTCCTCTAGTACCTATTGCAAAGTACGTCACTGAAATTGTCTTGTTTTAGCACTTCTGCCGTGCCTACAAATAGTCTGGAAATCTTGTTAAAATTTAAATTCTAATTCAGAAGGTTTATGCTTGCTACTTTAATAAATTCTCCCAAAGCTTAGTAGCTTAAAATAAACAATTGTTTGAACACAGCCATGTTCCAGCTGAGTCTTTCACATCTTTGCAAATCAAGGTGTTGGCCTGGGCTGTAGTCATCTCTAGGCTTGATTGGGGAGAAATCCACTTTCAAGCTCCCTCCCTTGGTTGTTGGCAGGCCACCTCCTTTGCTTGCTGTTGGCTGGAAGACATCAGTCCCTTGCAATGTGGTCCTCTCTATAGGACAGCTCCCAATATAGCTGCTTGCTGAGAAAACGGGTGGTGGGGGAGCAAGCAAGACAGTGCCAGAGTTTTTTGGTAACCTAGTGTCAAAAGTAGTATCACATCACTTCTGTGTATTCTGTTCATTAGAAGGTAGTTACCAGGCCCAGTCCATAAGGGGGGGAATTTCACAAGGACATAAATACCAGGAAGTAAGAGTCACTGGGCTTCCCTCTTAGAGGCTGCCTGCCGCCTTAGATTTGGGGTACAGTCTGAAATTCTGCTGGGCTTCCCCGGTGGCTCCGTGGTAAAGAATCTGCTCTCTGTGCAGGAGTCACAGGAGACTCAGGTTCAATCCCTGGGTTGGAAAGATCTCCTGGAGGAGGGCGTGGTGACCCACTCCAGTATTCTTGCCTGGAGAATCCCATGGAAGACGAGCCTGGTGCTCTTCAGACTATAAGGTTGCAAAGAGCCAGACATGGCTGAGCGACGCAGCATGCATACACACACTGAAATTCTGCTACCAAACTCCTCAGTGATGCCAGTGCTGCTTCTGAGAATTTCACTTTGAAAAGCAAGGATCTACACTTATTATATTCAATTCCTATCTTCTATTCATTCTCTACTGATCACACTCATTCCAGTTAGGCTTTCTTAACCCTTGCTCCATTGAAATGGCCCTTGTAGAGGTCTCCAATGACTTCTATATCACCAAGTCCAACATTGGAAAAAATTGATTATTCTTCCTGAAAATATTTCTTTACTTGACTTCTGGAACACCAAATTTACATTCCTCCTCTGTTTTTCTGCTGGTTCCCTATCTTCCTAACTATAAAGGTTAGGATATCCCATAATCCAATCTTTGGAGCTCTTTTTTTAAATCTACAGTTAACACTTGACTGGTTATAGCTTAAATTCCAGACATATGCTGACCACTCTCAAATTTCTGTCTCCTATGTGGTTACTCCTCTAAAATCCGAACATGTTTATCAAGTTCCTCAATGAACACCTCTACTTGGAGACTGATAGTTATTTCAGGCTTGAAATGTCCAAAACAGAACATTATTCTTTCCCCTTCATTTTCCTCCCAGATAGGCCCAACCTGGCAGTTTTGTTTATCATCTGTGTTTGCAAATCCAACAAATAGTTCCACTTCCTAATCAACTGTCCAGTGAAAAACCTGGGAGGAATCTTTGAGTATTTTCTAACTCATACGTAAACAATCATCAAGTCTTGTCAGTTTTGCTTCTTAAATACCGCTTGACCTTCTCCATCATTCTTTATTCCAACATCACCACCCTAATCTGAAACATCATCATATATTATACAGAGTTCTGCATCTTTTTATTATTGATGACAGCTTCGAACCTCTAGCCTGGGTTTTCCTCAACCCATCTTTTTTCCACGTTCATGGTTTCTTTTTCCCAGCAGGACAAAATTTAGATTCTTTATATTGTATATAAAGTCATACACAATCTGGCCTCTGATTCCCTTTCCAGACCCATTTATCTCTACTTCCCTGCCTATACTCTATACTTAAGCAGTTCAGGAACTGAGCTATGATATAACACTCCCTTTTGACCCTGAGTCTTAATGAAAATCATTTTCTTTCCTGAAATGCTTCCCTTCTTTGCCTGGTTTGCCTTCACTTAATTCAGGTTTCAGCTTAAACATGACTTCATCCTAGAGGGTGTCTTTGACCTTTTAGACTGGGTTTGAGGTACCCACAGTACAGTCCATAGCATTGTATACTTCTTAACATTTACTTTATTTTATACTAATCATTGAATTATCCTTTGTCTTTTTCTCCCACTAAGCTGTAAAACCAGATCAGCGGAAATAGATTCAGGTATTTTGAAGCCCTAAACATGTAATTTTGGGGACCGTATTTAAAAATAAAAAGTATGAAAATTATATGTGTGTGTGTGTGTGTGTGTGTGTGAGAGAGAAAGAGAGAGAGAGAGAGAGAGAGAGAGAGAGAGAGAGAGAGAGAGAGAGAGAGAGAGAGAGAGAGAGAGAGAGNTGGTAAAGAATCAGCCCACAAAACAGAAGATGCGGGTTCAATCCATGGGTAGGGAAGATCCCCTGGAGGAGGGCACAGCTGTCCTTTCTAGAATTCTTACCTGGAGAATCCCATGGACAGAGGAGCCTGGAGGGCTGCAGTCCATGGGCTCACAAAGAGTCAGACACGACTGAAGTGACTGAGGACACACACATGATCTACATTTTATATATATTTATATACGTATATAAGTATATATAAAGTAAAGAAAAAATATTTATATATAAAAAGGATCACAACAAAGTAAAAAATTAAGGAAGCTGACAGATATAAAAACATATGACCCTGTGAACACACTGCTAGGAGCCCTTTCCAGAACCCAAAGCTTAAACTTCATTAAATTTCCAGTAAATACACCTCTTGACATGAATCTTTCTGAAAGCTCCATTTCTAGTGTCAACAGCAGTGTTTAACACAAATCAGGTGCTCAATAAATATTTTTGAATGAATTATTAACTGAGTTATTTGCAGTTATATTTCTATACATTTGACATTCAAGTTTTTCACAAATTATAGTTCTACAAAAAGCTTTATATATTAGAAAATTGTTCTTACAGTTATTATTTTCCATTTTTGCTACAGTTGCATTTCACATGACTAATAATGTACATATCTGTTAGTATATCACCAGGCTCTGTGCACATATCCATTGTACCTCTTTACTAAGTGGAAAAAATTTTTATTTGCATCAAAAAATCTTCTATAATGTATGTATATATGTATAAATGTTTGTGTATGTCTGTATTTTTATAGATCACCTATATTAAAGCTTTAATTTTTAATTGCTTAAATTTTTTAGTGTTTTAGGTATTCCCACAAACAGAAAACCTTTGGGGAAAACCACCTATATTCTTTTTCTTTTACAGTATATTTTTTAAACATTTGTCTCTGGAAATGAAGATAACTAGTATTTTATATAACTTTAAAAAATGCATCAGATCTTTTCTTTATAATGAGTTTGTCCATGGAACATTATTTAAGAGGTTATTTGAATCAAGACAGTAACATAGCATTCAAAAGATAAGCTACTTGGCCTAAATATTGAGAGTTTAGTTTGTTAAAGTAAAATGAAGTTTAGTTAAATTCTTTTTATAATAACATTTTAAATTTGCTGAGGACTTGGTGTGCTCATATCAAGATTATCAGGTGTGATGATGTGTGTGTGTGTGTGTGTGTGTGTGTGTGTGTGTTAGAAAGTGCAGTCCTCTCATCAATGCGCACTTTTTCCTCCCATTTTCCTAAATACATCATGAAAAAAGGATGAGGTTTCCGCCTTAATTGCTTGTGCCTTTTATTCACATTCCTCTCTCAGCCAGAATTGTGAAAAGAGTGTTAGTAAAAAGCTGCACAATAGAGCTTTTCATTAGGCCTAGGCAAGGCACACAAAAGAAGGCTTTTGGAAGGAGTGAATGCATGAGTTTAATTTGCAGGTGGAGAGTAGATAAAAGGTGCTGACGCCTCTATTATTCTCTTACGTAGGTGACCCTTACCCCGTACAGCTGATCCCAACTACCATGGCAGCTGCTGCCGCAGCAACACCAGGCTTAGGCCCACTCCAACTGCAGGTAAGTCAGGAAACAATACACCGGAGACAGAGGTTAAGTAAATACCGAAAACAGCTATTATCCTGTTAACGCAGAATATGACTGACTAGTGATATTTGCCTCACACTTTTTTGTTTTTGAATTTATGTGTACTGATTCTCAACCCAAAGTTGGTTTTTTTGATTTTTAGTCCTGTTTTCTGTACTAAAGATAACTTGTAATTTTTTTATTGCCTGGTATGATTTAACAAAATGAGCTGTAGTTTTACTTTGATTACTGTCTGTCATAATTTCATCACGGAATGGTCTTCATCAAGATAAAAAGAAGGAAAAAGCTACAAAAGATATTCAGATACTTATGGATCAAGACAGCTTAACAAAATTACATTTAAAATTGTTCAAGATGCTCAGTATTTTTGAAGCACTCTGTAGATCTCTTTATTTTCCTGCTAATGCCAGCTCAGTTGGATAAGCAAGAATAAGTAGACCAAATAAGTAGATGCCTAAATGAACACAACTTTATCCCAACATCCACTTTTTTTGGCCCAGCAGAAGCTGTATTCCCATATATATGTATCCTTGAATGTCAGTGATAACTCTATCAGATGCCCAAGTGATTTTAGAAATTTTGTCTCTGGAGTTGGAAAGAATATCAATTAAATTATATTAAAGGTATCTTTCATTAACTGTTTAAATCTTTCAGTCAGCATCTTACCACCCTTGTTTCTGTTGTTTGGGACTTTATAGTTACACAGTTAATGGGAATAGCAAATCATCTAATAATAGGATTAATCTCCCCTTGTGAGAAGTGTTATATTTTCCTTTGCCTGAAAGACACAGTATGCTGGTAAAGTCAAGCATGAAGCACTCGTGCTTTACAAAATTAAGTTGTATTCATGAAAGTGCATTGTCGTGATAGATGACCTTAGCCTATAAGCAAAATACAGTTTAAATTGTAGCATCAAAAGACAGATGCATCTGGTCGGCAGAGGGAATTGTCAGAAGACGTGGTGGGTTTCTGAGAAACTGGTTGAGTCTCACAGGAGGGAAACACAGGAGGAGCTGAGACATACTGTGTTCTACAGAGGTTAATAACAGTCATTCCTATTCTACCTTTTCTCCAAAAAAACTACGGTGTGAGTTTCTGTTTCTTTGAGCTGGAAATAACTTTAGGAAGTGTTGGAACCATGGGGACAATAAAAGTAACAACATTTGTTATCCTTTGAAATCTGAAAAATAACTACAATACAGAGAAGTAGCTATAATAGGTAAAACTAAAAAGAGTAGTGGGATTAAAGGAAGAGGGAAGAATATCCAGCAGTAGATTTGAATGTGGAAAATAGGAGTTTTAGAGATCTAGGCTGTCAGTTTTCAAAACAAATTAGACATTCTCATTTCCTTTCACCATTGGATCAGTGATGAGAGGGAACACAGGCAAGCTGGAGGTATTGCCTATGTTTCATTGTTATATGCCAACAGAAACCAGCTTTGCTAGGTAGCAATCCGAACTTATTTCTGAAAAGAATAGTATTAGAATATTTTTACACAAATTAAGTTTTATTTCTGCCCTTATGATATGATATCAGATTCCCTTAAAATGTAAGAATACGAAAACTGTGTTATATCACAAAACAAGAGAAAAGACACCAAACATATTTGCTTTTGCTTCAACTGTGGTAAAGAATCTGCCTGCCAATGCAGGAGATGCAAGAGATGCAGGTTCGATCCCTGGGTTAGGAAGATCCCTGGAGGAGGGAATGGCAACCCACTCTAGTATTCTTGCCTGGAGAATCCCACGGACAGAGGAACCTGGTGGGGTACAGTCTGTGGAGTCACAAAGAGTGAGACACGACTAAGCACAGCACAGGGCAGGGCAACTATAATTTGATCTATAAATGGGATAAAGATATTTTATGTAAGGTGGCTTTGTACACGTTAAAATATATGAATTTTAGTTAGGAACTCAGATTGGGCTTCCCAGGTGGCACTAGTGGCTAAGAATCCACCTGTCATCGCAGGAGACGGAAGAGACTCAGTTAGATCCCTGTGTTGGGAAAATCACCAAGAGGAGGAAAAGGCAACCCACTCCAGTATTCTTGCCTGGAAAATTCCATGGGCAGAGGAGCCTGGCAGGCTACAGACCATGGGGTTGCAAAGAGTTGGACATGATTGAATGACTGAGCACACATAAACCAACACTGTGGAACAATGAGAAAATTAGTAATCTTACCTTTTCATGATAAGCCGTTAACTTCTATTAAAACACAAACACACACACACACACACACACACACACACACACACACACACACGCTTTTTGCTTGTGATTAAAAAGAAGTACTCAAATCCAAATACGTGTTTCAAACACATGTCATAGCAGAGACATGGCTTTTCCTTGAAGCGGACTTACTCTCACTTTTGCTCAGGTGCCTGCACCAGACTACTTTTCTACTCCTGTTCCTAACACTATATTCACACGTCCGTAACCTTGACTTCAGCATTCCCCAGAGCTGCAAAGGAGACCTGCATACTCTTCCTTCCCTTGCATTAAAACAACATCCAAATTCTTTTCTTCTCCACAGACCTTCCCAGACAGGGCAGGGAAAAGCTCCCTACAGTGTCTAGGCAGAGGTCTTCTCTTCACCCGAACCCAATGTTCCCTCCAGTCTTGTGAACCTACTTCTGTGAAGCTTCATCTCAATGGAGTATAATATATGAGTCAGTTTTAATTTTCTCCAAACTCTGCTTTTAATTATACTGATAAATCTCCATTTTTCCATCGCTTAATAGTACCTGAGTAGACTTTGTCACTTTTGAGTCCCTTTCAGTAACTAAGATTATCTTTCTTTTATGGAAATTCAGTCCCATGTTCTTATGCTAGGTTCTCTGGTAAGGCTTTCATACAAAGATTAACTCATTTAATTCTTATTGCAACACTTTGTATTATGTCTTAATAACTCCATTTGACAAGAAAACTGGGTCACAGAGTCCAATATCCATGGTTTTAAGACAATTTTATATATTTTTCCAAATACAGGAGATTTTATTTTAAAGTTTAGAGATGTTGCCCTTCTTTAGACATTTGCTCATAACTCAGTAACTTGGTAATAAAGTTATGACAATAAGGCTGATTAATTGGTACTCATACAAACCCTATATATGCATTGCAATACTGAAATAAATAGGATTCATGACAGCTGTCTACTTCAGACTCTGAATTTTTTATTTCATAACTCTTTACACAGATATGTGTTGATTCAAGCTTCTCTTTTTGAACATCTATACCTAAGAAAAGACCCTATAAATATATTTCTATTCACAGTTGACACTGTTTACCTACCATTCATTTACCTTTGAAATTATGTTTTGCAGATAATTGTCCACACTTGGAAAATAATAAGTAAAACCAATAGCCAAGACCTTTATTAAAGAAGAAATAATGTCAAGTACAGTAGTCTTAAAAGACAAGCAAAATGACATGTTTTAAATTAGACCACTATTTATTACTTAACTATCACTTCATGTTCCTGGATAAAATAAGAAAATATTTTTCATGCAGTAAGAAATACTTTGGGATTCCGTGGTGGCTCAGATGGTAAACAATCTGCCTGCAATGCAAGAGATCCAGGTTTGATCCCTGATTTGGGAAGATATCCTGGAGAAGGAAATGGCAACCCACTCCAGTATTCTTGCCTGGAGAATCCCATGGATAGAGGAGCCTGGTGGGCTATAGTCCATGAGGTCGCAGAGTCAGATGCTAGTGTTCAACAAACACTTTCACTTCCATGAAATGCTTTACATTAAAAAATCACCTTACTATATATACTTTTTAGAAGCATTAAAATAGTCTCTGTGCATGCTTGGTCATTCAGTCATGTCCAACTCTTTATGACCCTATGGACTGTAGTCTACTAGACTCCTTTGTCCATGGTGATTCTCCAGGCAAGAATACTGGAGTGGGTTACCATTTCCTTCTTCAGGAGATCTTCCCAACCCAAGAATCAAATCCACATCTCCTGTGCATCTCCTGCATTGCAGGCAAATTCTTTATCACTGAGCCACTGGGAAAGCCCCTAAAACAGTCTAAGTCTTGTCAAATATTTATTTTTATAGAGAAATATGAGTAAGAAAAATGACAATTTGAGTTGTGTATAAAACATACAAATTAACATGTTGTACTCAGGCACCATTTTATTTATTTCTATTATAACAAAATATCTGTCTTTGTCTCCTCTGAGCCTTTTCCTAAGCTTTTAAGCCTTTCCTGAGTTTCAGATCCATATAGCCAACTATTTGTTGGCAACTAAGAAGAAACATAGATATTTACATGCACAATAAACTGACTACAAAATGGACCTGACCACTTATCTTCCTTGCCCCCTGACCTGCTGATTCTTTGATCTTAGCAAATGGCTCCATTCCATCTGTTTCCCTGGAAAGCATGAACACCATCTTTAACTTTTCTTCCTTCTTCCTCTGGACCTATACATTCATTATCTTTCTATTCATTCCATCTACTAAATATATCAATAATCTGTTGTTTTGTTTTGGTTTGCATAGTAACTGTCACTCTGTGAATCTTGCTACCTTCATAGCTTGCATAATTAACCCCAGGAGCCCCTGAACTGGCCTTTCAGTCCTCATCTTGCCCTCTTCAACACACGCTCTCCTGTATACTTTTGTCATAATGATCTTTATGATTCTGATCATGGCTTTCTCCTACTTAAATACCTTAAATTACATGGTGTTTTCAAGTTCTCTCTCCCTTCTGGATCTTTACATGTGGTATTTCTCTTTTCAGAACCCTATCACCCACCTTTTTTTTACCAAGCCAACTCCTACTTATCCCTGAGATTGCAAAGGAAAACCTCACTTTTTCAGGGAAGTCTTCATTGTCTTCAGGTCTGGATTAATGTAGCTCTCATGTATGCCTAGAGTACACTGTATTTTCCCTCTCATGGCACTTGTGGAATATGTTCTAAATCCTACTTTTTGGCTTCTACCAGATGGCATAATCTATGA